GAAGGATCAAAGGTTTACGTATATAGCCAGTTAAATAAAATAGAAAGAGATGGGGAGGAAGAGACAGGGGACAGGGAAGGCGGAGCCGGGGAGGATAAGATGGGGTGACAGGTAGAGACGGGGGATGAGACAGGTGATGGGTTAGACGGGTAAGAGGGATATAGAAGGAGACAGGTGTGAGACGAGGGATTGAGATGAGAGAAAGGTAGACCAGAACAGGGGCTTGAATAGAGTGACAGACCACTCAAGACTGAATTAGATCAGGACCAATTCACCATAGTGAGAAAGAGAGATTTCCAAAAATGAATTTATTTCATAGACTTTCTACAACCCATTTACAATGGTACCCTACTGAATCAGCCCAGTTTCAGGCAGTTCAACAGGACCCACATGCTTCTTATCATCTCTTGCATCATGCTGATGATGCTAGCTAATAAATTGAGTTTCTTTAAGAGGAGAATTCATCTTGCTGGATGCAATGGCACTTGAATGATCTCTGATTAGGTTGTAGCTATTAGGTTATTGACTTGAAAAGTAGATCCTGAAAGCTTTTCTATTCCATATCTATTAGGAACTTCTCTCAGAGCCTAGGTAAGAGAGAGGAGGAAGTAAGGAAGTAGAAATATATATATAAGAAATATATGTCAGATGGACAGATATGTTTATAGACCAGTTATATTTAGAGCTCAGACAGGTTAAAGAGCCAGACGCTAATGCCTTTTAGCACGTCAGATAAGAGCTAGATAATTCCATATACGTATTAATATGGAACTCTCGACCGGAAATGGTAGAAAGTCTCTGTATTAGGGAACCACATTCAACACTTTCAGTGGATGTGGGAAACTGTAGACAACTGTGGGAAGTGTAGGATGTGTGAGTGCGTGCATGTGCACGTGCTTGTCTGCATACTTGTAAATGTGTGTTCCTCTAATCTGTATGTGTCTATATAAATCTGTGCGCACTTGTATCTGTGTCTCTCCGTGTGTCTTCCACCCGTCGGCTTCAAACCTGCGTTCCCACACTGGGGGAGGAGGGAGTGAGTGAGGCAGGAATAGAGGTAGAGAAGGAAAGCGGGAGGGATCGATGTGACTGCAGGAGTTACTGGCTCCTGGAGGGGGAGCGTCTCTCCTCTCAGGGCTGAAAAATCCCCCCAGGCAAAGACGAGTCAGGCCTGTTCCCCCTAGTTGGACTAGGATTACCCACAGGACATCTATTAAAGGGGGGCTTCGCCATCTAACATAATGGATATTACGCTCTTATTGAATATTGCATGATACCGGGATGGCATAAACACCCCTTCTGCTTCAATATCCTCTTTGTTTGAGTGTTTCCCTATTAGGGTTTTATGAACGTGCGTTCACGTTTTATGTTTATTTGTGGCCAGTGGGGAAAAACTGTGCCAGTAGAATGGCTAGAAGAGCAGTGGGTGGAGAGACTGAATATAATGTCTGTACTGGGATAGTATCATTATTTGAAACTTTTGATTGATTTCATTTTGATTGATAGTTCAAAGGGCTCAACACCTTCATTTTATTTTGGGATATTTTTGTATTGTTTGTTGAGTAAATTGTTTTTTTTATTTCTACTGTTCTACTGTATACACATGCAGAGGCTTGCTTGTCCTATCAATCCAAAGTCAAAAGTTGACCAAATCCAGTATGATCATCGACTATGTTTATTGTTCTTCAAAACGATATTCTCTCCCTCATATTTATTTGAACACATTTGTTTGTATTTGTTTGTTTGTTTTTTCACAGAGTGCCAAGCCCTGTTGAGTGAAGTTCCCCCCCATCCCCCACCTCTATCCCCAGTCGCCAGAGGTAACATGGTTCCCCCCAGGCCTGGTGGAACTGTAGCCAAGTCCAGGGTGCCTCGCCCTGGGTACGGCCTCTGCCTCTACCACCCTTGTCTTCTGCTGCTGCTGGTGCTCAACTTCCTGCCCAACCTCTCTGAGGCCTTAGGTAAGTAACACACTACATATTTATGTTTTTGTGGGTGTGTTAGTTCATGTGTCTGTACAGTATGTCCTCCAGTTGGTCGATTTGTTTATGTGTAGGTTTGTCAGTTTGTCTGCATGGTCGTCGGTGCATTCCTATCTATCTCTCTCTCTCTATCTCTCTCTATCCCTCTCTCTCCCTCTCTGCTGACAAACAGCTGTAACAGTGAGTTGTGTTGGTCAACGCTAACTGCAGTGAGTGGTGACGTGGTGTTGGGCTGGAGGTGGACCGGTGAAGATCTGTCTGTCTGCCTGTCTGTTTCTGCAGTGATGGGTGTTTAACAAGATCTGTCAGGACCATGGTGGTTTTATTGCACTAATAAGCAGTATACACACGTCAGCACTTACCCAATCTTCACCTTCATTAAAGCATGTCTTCAGATGTCTTGTCTTATGAATCTACAATAAGACAGGTGAACATAGAACACACTACAGCACTGAAAACGCTACGGAAGTATGTGGCATTCAAGAACATAAATGGTTTTTGACACTGATGAGTAGTGAGGGGATGTCAGCATATAGTTAGTCATCACATTGAGGCTACTGTATGAAAGCACGTCTTGATATTTCTTAAGAGTGTGTTACTTAGAGGTATTATTGCTCTGTGACTCAAAGAAAATAGCATCCCAAAAATAGCAGTCTGAACCGCCATATTTCTTACACTGGTGGAGTGCCCATGTTAATATTTGTTTTGGTTGGTGGCTAGGACCCTGAGTTTTTCCTGACCATGTAACCTGACCAGGAACAACTCTGGTCCCTAGTTATAGGCAACTCCTGTAATTGGTATGGATTTACATGGAACCTGAGTGATCTGGTCAGACTTGTTCAGACAGGTCTAATTTCCAGCCTCCAGTCGTAGTGGTGGTGACTATAATATCATAACACCCACCTGCTACCTACTGACGCACATCTACACACTACACCTTCCCAGCACTGCTATTAGTTAATCATAGCCTTGTGGTGTTTCATTATGATAGGCCAGAGATATTGAAGTCTTTAGTCTATCATTATATCTCACCGGCAGCCAGGGAGGGAAGGAGTGAAGGAGTGAAGCCTTTAAAGGGACGGACTGCCTTCTTGAGTATCCTCACAGAATTCGGGGGAATTTTTAATGAAAGGAAAAACAATATGTATGTCTGGGTTGAATCAGAACCAAAGGCTCTAACCAGAACAGAATGCAGCCGGAGGCCGGTAGTTGCACCCATATAATTAGAATTGGTTCTAGTGTGCAGTGACAATAACACAAGAACCTCTTTGAAAGTCACAGAAATGTAAACCAATGTTGAATGGGAAATCAACCTGCCTTACACAGCTCCCCAAAGTACGGCCTGTTCCTAAGTGCGACACTTTCACAACTGACAGAGTGTGTGAAGTGTATGGTCAAAAGGCTACAAGAATACGCTGTGTTTTTTTCCTCTACAAGTATTGTTGAGGTTTCTCAGTTTCTGCTCAGGCACTTTACCTCACAGCTCAGAGGTGGGCTGGCTGCTGTGTGACTGTTACTCACTGAAGTGTGAAGTTAGCAGGGGAGGGAGAAAAGCTTTTCCATCTCTCAGTGATTTTGGGGAGGTATTGCAGTGTGTTCTTTTTTCAGCTGCTCTGCCTCTCTGTTGTAGAACTGAATCAACACAGCAGGAGCTGGCCCAGTGATAGAGAGAGTGAGAGACAGAGGTGGGAGATAGGTAGAGAGGGAGGAAGGGAGGTTGTTATGGTGAGGGTCAGGCCGGCTTCGCCCTGATGGATAGAACTGATTCCGCCGCTGGCTGCCATGGTAACAGACACAGAGGGATAGAACTCTGGGCTCGCCGAAGAAGAGTCTGACATTCTAAGATGGGCAGAGAGACAGAGGGAGGGAGGGAGGGAGGGAGGGAGGGAGGGAGGGAGGGAGGGAGGGAGGGAGGGAGGGAGGGAGGGAGGGAGGGAGGGAGGGAGGGACAGTATGAGAGAGTGTGTGAGAGAGAGAAGAGTAAAATGGATGAAGTAACTTGACAAGATTTTAGCACAGTGGAATTGTATGGATTCTGTGCCTGAAATTGATTTGTATTTGCCATTAGTAATAAGCATTACTGAATTTTGGAAACTCTAGCAGCCGACATGACGTTCTAAAACTAGACCATTCAGATCAAGCAAACTTTGTTCTAAAACTGCATAAAAGCGTCTTCTCTGTTAGAACTGGGCTTTATAGATATAAAGGGTATAAATGTACTAATGCAATCCCTAAATCCTTGGACTCAAAATGGTCTCTTTGTTTCATTGTGGTTCACTGCAGAGGCTGAAAATGTCATGTGTGATATTAATACATTAAAGCCAATTATTTCCTGTGAATTTCCACTACACCTTTTCATACACCCGCATAGCACCCACCCATGTGTTCTCACAATCTGTGCTGCATAGTGGAGTAGCTTGCCCCGGGGTAGTGAAAAAACATTCTCCTGTGAAGCTGAAGCACATCTTTTATTGATGACACACAGGAAGTCCTTGGTGATGTCCTCTAAATGATAGCCAGGAAGTGGACTGTACTTAGCAGCCAATCACCAAGTCCATCACGACTCAGTGATGTCATGTCACTCTCTTCCTATCCACAGATTTGAACTAGTTGGCATCTCTTGAGTGAGAGCTGTCTGTCTTTGGGTTTGCTCGTGTAGCTCAGTTGGTAGAGCATTGCGCTTGCAACGCCAGCGTTGTGGGTTCGATTCCCACGGGGGACCAGTATGAAAATGTATGCACTCGCTACTGTAAGACGCTCTGTATAAGAGCATCTGCTAAAATGTAAATTATGATTGATGTGTATTTGCATGGGGAAAATATTAAGAAAAATAATTTTAGTACCATCATTCTAATAATGTTTAATAATTTGGATCTGTCTGTCTGTCTATTTATCTGTTTATGGATCCATTGTTAGTTTGTTTTCTGAACTGCATTATGTCTTGGACTCCTGGCTGAAGAATTTCCATACGAGGACAATAAAGTTTTAATTTAGTTTAATTGTCTGTCTATCCCAGCGGCGCCCAAGTTTACCAAGATTCCCGGGGACCAGATTGGGGTCTCGGGAGGTGTGGCCTCGTTCGTGTGCCAGGCGTCAGGTGACCCCAAGCCCATGGTCAACTGGAACAAGAAGGGCAAGAAGGTCAACTCCCAACGCATAGAGGTGAGCTCACTCCACTCTCCAATCTCTAAAGATCATATTCCATTAGCAACTTTTTGAGGGGTTTTGTTTTACCATTTGTTGGACCAGCCTTTTCCTTTGGTTCCCAATTCTCCTTCTTGGTCTCCTTCCTGGTTACTCACCTGGTTTCTGTCTCTTCCTGATTCTTTGTCCTGGTTGTCCTTTGTCCTGTTTTCCTCCTCATTCCAAACTGTTCCTGACTGTTTCTCTGCTGGCTGTTTCCTGAGTGTTCCTCCTCTCCCCTAGACGATAGAGTTTGATGATGGAGCGGGGGCCGTGCTAAGGATCCAGCCTCTCAGGGCCCCCAGAGATGAGAACGTCTATGAGTGTGTGGCCCGCAACAGAGAAGGAGAGGTGGCCACCACCGCCAAGCTGGCAATCATACGAGGTGTGTGTGTGTGTGTGTGTGTGTGTGTGTGTGTGTGTGTGTGTGTGTGTGTGTGTGTGTGTGTGTGTGTGTGTGTGTGTGTGTGTGTGTGTGGACGTGTTTAACTATACTTGTTGGGACCAGACAAGAACAGTAAACTAACAAAAATTTGACCAACTGTGGACGTTTTGTTAGTCCCCACAAGGTCAAATGCTATTTCTAGGGGGTTTAGGGTTAAAGTAGAATTAGGGTTAGGGTTAGAATTAGGTTTAGGAGTTAGGGTTCGTTTTAGGGTTAGGAGTTAGGGTTAGGTTTAGGATTAAGGTTTGGTTTTGGGGTTAAGGTTAAACACTCACACACCTGCTCACACAACTGCTCACACTCCCTTTGTTCCCTTCACTGCCAACACTAGACGTGAGAAACACCCAGCTTACACATTTTTATAACAGGAAAGAAGGAGCTGTTCTTTTTTAGCCTGAGAGTTAGCGTGAGTTAGTGTGATTTGGCTGTGTTGAGGGCCAGTTAGCTAGTGTGCGTGTGATTTAGACTACAGCTTCTCTCTCATAATCACTTCATTCAGTTTGGCTGTAAGCCTGGTTGTAAGCCTAGGAGCCGTGGACTGGGCCTAGGCCCAACACAGGAGAGAGGGAGGGAGGGAGGGAGGGAGGGAGGGAGGGAGGGAGGGAGGGAGGGTTTTGAGTTTTTATAAAATCTTTATTCTTATACTCAAGTGTTAACACAAATAATGGCACACTGCCTTTTCAGAAATGAAACAACAAATGTCATTCCTAAATAAAAATAAAAATGTTAAGTGTTGATGTTCAACTCGGTCAAATGCCTTTTCCTGATCAATTGAAATTAGACCAGCATCCAACCCAATAGCCCTAGAGACGTCCAAAAAATCCTGAATCAGAGAAATGTTATCCCCTATCTGCCTGCCAGGAACTCAGTAGGACTGGTCCGTATGTATGATTTGCCCCATCACCTCCCTCAGCCTGTTGGAGAAAGCCTTTGACAGGATCTTATAATCAGTGCACAATAAAGCCACCGGCATCCAGTTCTTCACCTCCCTAGGGTCACCCTTTTTGGACAGTAGGGTGAGGACAGCCCTTCTGCAGTTTATTGGTAGTAACCCTCCGGTTAAACTATAATTAACTACTGCTAGCCAATCCTATCCCAACATAGCCCAAAAATACTTTAAAAAGTCAATGCCTGGTGCCCTTCCATTTTCCATGCCTTTTAATGCAGTGTATAGTTCCTGCAAAGACAATGGTTGCTCTAGCTCAACCTGAGCTTCTGCAGCCACCTGTGGGAGTCCATCAAGTGTCACTGTTTTATCCTCTTTGTACTCACACTTGTAGAGCTCAGCATAGAACTCTACTGCCCTCTTTCTAATTTCACTAGGGCTAGTGAGCTCCTGTCCAACAGCTGATTTGAGACAATGAATCATTCCTCTTTGTCCATTATTTTTCTTCTAAACCAAATAAAATGTTGGATGAGGCATCCATTTCAGAGATTCCCTGAAACTTACTTCTCACCAATGCCCCCTGTGCTCTGATACCCAGCAGGTCTGCCAATGCAGCTTTTTTCCTCTTGAGGGCCTGAGTATGGCCTCGATCGCCTGTGGTCTCAACCAACGTCATGAGTTCCACTATTTCAGTCTCTAGGGCTTTCATTGATCTGGTGATATCCTTGATAACATTCCTCGTGTATTGATTACAGAATTGTTGAATCTGGATTTTCCCTATATCCCACCCATGTTGAAGGGATACAAAACTGGCCTTTTGAGACCTCCACCTCTCCCAGAAAAAAACTAAAACATTTCCTGAAGAGGGCATCACTCAATAAAGTTATATTAAAATGCCAGTATGCGCTTTTGGGTTTTACATCGTTAATGAACACCACCTCTGTTATTAAACAATGATCAGAAAATCCCACTGGGGTTATCACACTTGATTTACAGACCTGAGATTGATGCTCAAAACAATAAAACCTATCTAACCTGGCCATAGAGATGGTGTTCTCTCTCACATGCGCCCAGGTGTACTGTCTCGTGCCTCCATGTTGACTCCGCCAAATATCACACAGTTCATGTGTTACAATGAGGCGTTTTAACAAAGTCCTTGAGGCTATATTAGGTTCTTTGTGATTTCTATCTAAATCACTGACTGTGCAGTTAAAATCCCCAGCAATAAATAAATAATCTTAATTATTACATTTCTCAATGGTATTTGATAATGTCTAAAAAACATGCCACCACTGGGGCATATACATTTATCAGACACATAGTGATGTTTTCATACCTCGCTCTAACTTTTAATAACCTCCCCTCAACTACCTCTTCAACCTCATATGACAAAGGCAAAAACCCTTTTGAGAACAAGATGGCCACACCCCCACTTTTTGAGTTTTTATGACTACACACCACTGTCGTCGTCATGCCCCCCCCCCCCCCCCCCCCCCCCCCCCCCCCCCCCCACACACACTCCTGTTGCCACATAACTTCATTTTCATTATGTCACTTCCCTTCCCCCTAATTAACTCATACACTATGGATCTTTTTTTAACGTCTCTCGCCCCATTTACATTTAAAGAAGAAATCTTAAAACTGCTCTGGATGGAAAAAAAATACAGAGGAAGACACAGAAACCACATCTCTTTACAGAGTTAAGGCTGCGACTGAACTCTTTCATCACTTATCACTCTCGTGACCACTTTCTTGAGTCTAGCAATTTCAGGGATTGTCAAACCTCCCCGTTATTTTTGACATCAGAAACTTTGCTGATTCAATAAACAATTCACTTTCAGGAAAGAAATATGTTACATTATAATCCTGCATATATTTCTTCCCTTTTGTCAACTTCAGAAATTGACGTACCTTCTCAATCCCATACCTCCCTTCCAACCCATTAATCTCACTATTTTGTTGTGACGCGTCAGATGACTCACTCTCGCTATCCTCCCCAGAAGAAAACTCCACCATCTCTACAACCTGTTCATCCTCAACTGATTTATCAATCTCTACCTTCCTCTTGGAATTAGACCCTTCACCACCCTTTAAATTATTCCTCTTACTCCTCGGTACTTTGAAAACAGCTGCTTCCTTTTCCATTATTTCAATCTCCTCTTGACCTCCAATTTCATTTTCCAGCACCACCTCAGCGACTGCAGTCACAATCTCACCGACTGTTTCCCTTCCCTGTTTGTTCTGATCTACCACAATTGCCCCTGTATCCACACTGCTTTCCTTTCCTACTTTTCCAACCACATCTGCCCACCTTCTCCCTTCCCCTGCACCCTTAGCATGTTCATCCCTTCGCGTTGGTGCATTAGCTGCACCAGCACTAGAGCTGCTACCAGGCTCTGCGCGCTCGTTCTCGGGACAATTACATACCAAATGCCCCAATCTTACACAGCCAAAGCATTTCATTGATTCAGTAGAAGCGTAGAAGACATAATCAAATCCATCAATCTTAAAACTGAATGCTAAATTCAGTTCATCAGTGTTCTTATTTAAAATAATATGCACTTGTCTCCAATGAGACACAACATGTTTCAGCAAAGGAGATTTGCATCCAAAAAGAACCTTCTTTATTGTAGATACAATTTGACCATGACGAGATAACTCTCGCTTCATCTCTAACAAATGGTGGCATGTTAGAAAGTATAACTTTCTTCGCCGGATTCATAAGAGGAAATACCGACGTCTGTGTCTCCCGCAACACAACACCACTCTCAACTATCGTATTCACCTTTTCAATGGAATCTAAGAATATCACTACAGCGCTATTCATCCTTGAGGCTGATGTGATGCTATCATACCCAATGATAGCGCCCACTGCCAAGCTACATTCTTCCACTGAACACCCTGCCGCAGCAGGAATATTTACTCCGTTTTTTAAACCGACTGGTGTTTTTCAACCTCAACGATCCCACCACCCCTATACATGCTTAGTGATAGTTAGACAAGATAACCTTAAAACAACTAAACTAATCAATATATATATATATATATATATATACACACCAAAACCCAATAGAGTGAAAATAATTCCAGTCGCTCTCACAATCACTCCTGCTTCACGACCTACTCCCAGCATGCACTCCAACGAGAGAGAGAGAGAGCGAGAGAGAGAAGAGGGATGGATGGTGTAACGACTCCTTTTTACATGGGAAAGCAGAGGATTAGAACTGGGCTTGGACAGGGACCCAGTTCTGCAGGAGGGAAGACGAGGAAGAGAGGAATGGAGGGATTGAGGGAGGGATACACAGCAGGATGTAGGGAGGAGAGAGACAGAGGGGATATGGGGAAAGATGGACGGGGACTCAGTGCTGGAGGAGGGGGAGGAGTAGTGACACAGCAGGAGAAGGGATGGAGAGGGAGGGGAGAGAAAGAAGAGAGGAGGTATAGAAGAAGAGAATGAGGAGGAGGGAAGGAGGGAGGGATAGATTTGGCAGGCTTGGTGTTCAGCAGAAGGCTGGTAGCCTGGGGAATAGCCTCCTGTCCATCTGTTCATAGGCCTGTCATCACTATACAAACACACCCAATCTCCCACTCTGTATTTGTGGGACATTACTACCTAAACCCTATAGCCCTTCAGGATTTGTGTGTGTGTGTGTGTGTGTGCGTGTGTGCGTGTGTGCGTGTGTGCGTGTGTGCGTGTGTGTGTGTGTGTGCGTACGTGCGTGCGTGCGTGCGTGCGTGCGTGCGTGTGTGCGTGCATGAGTGTGTTTGTGTGTTCTTGCACATGCTATGAGCCATAAACTATTTTTCCTCAAGAGATCTGTGTACATTCTGAATTTGAACTTATGTGACCAGAGGTGTAGACTTACATTCAATGATATTTTGCAATCTGTCTCCTAGACCTTGACTGCACCATAGACTTAAATAATTAAATAATAATTCATATTTTTATATACAGTTCCAGTCAAAAGTTTGGACACACCAAATCATTCAAGGGTTTTTCTTTATTTTTTTACTATTTCTACATTGTAGAATAATATTGAAGACATCAAAACT